GCCTAAAATAATATCTCATATTATAAATACCCAGCCTTATGTGGATTTCTTGTTACAGCAAGAATGCTGTTCTGACTGTGAAATCAAGACTGACCATGTTTTTTTTTAACTAGAACTAGTGGTATGTAATACAGTTGTTAAGATTTCTTTTTGGTTTTTCTTCCATAGATCAGTGCTGGTCCAATGACAGGATATGGGGGGCTCAAATGCCAACTCTGATATTACCAGGGGCTACACATACTACTCAACATATGTATTGTCACAAAGATATTCAGAGGCCAGGCTAGGGGACATACTGCTGAAGATGGTCAGAGGTCAGGCTAGGGGACATACTGCTGAAGATGGTCAGAGCCCAAGGACATGCGGCTGAAGATGGTCAAAGCCCAGGGACATGCGGCTGAAGATGGTCAGAGCCCAGGGTCATGCGGCTGAAGATGGTCAGAGCCCAGGGACATGCGGCTGAAGATGATCAGAGCCCAGGGACATGCGGCTGAAGATGGTCAGATCCCAGGGACATGCGGCTGAAGATGGTCAGAGCCCAGGGACACGCGGCTGAAGATGGTCAGAGCCCAGGGGCATGCGGCTGAAGATGGTCAGAGCCCAGGGACATGCTGCTGAAGATGGTCAGAGCCCAGGGACATGCTGCTGAAGATGGTCAGAGCCCAGGGACATGCTGCTGAAAGCAGAAGCCGAGGACATGCTGCAGGAAACTATAAAAAGGCCAGGGGCCATGCCCCAGGAGATGGTCAGAAGCCAGGGGCATACCAGCAAGAAGTAATAGGGTGGAAAAGTGCCAAAACGTTCAATTTGATACTGAGCAGGTTATACACACTAAATAAAATGAATAGTAAAAAAACAACAACAACGGTTATGCTCTATTTACTAAAAGTTAAAATGTAAGCTGCATAGTTTCTGTGGACAGCCTTGCCTTTCTCAGCCAGGGTGCCTCTGTTGTGAAAGTGGGGGACTCTGAAATGAAAGGGGGGCAGTGATGTAAAGCGGGACTGTGATGTAAAGCGGGACTGTGATGTAAAGCGGGACTTGATCTGAAGGGGGCACGTCAATGTTATGGGGACACCCACTTTTTTGTTTTTTTTCCATGGGGTCCCCCTTAAAATGTATGACATCTTCGACTGCGGTGCCTCGAGATTTTGCATATTTTAAAAGGTTGCCATGACAAAAAGAAAAAAAGAAAAAGGGTTGAGAACCGCTGACCTACACTGAGGATATTGTCTTCCAAATACGTGAAAGTTTTAAAAGAGCGGTGCAAAGTACATAATCATGCATAGAACTTTTTCCTCAATGTGGCTTATGCAATATGCAATTAAAGACCCAAGTAGAACATGTATCATTGAGAAAGAGAGAGAGAGACTGATTTATGTCCAGGCCACAGGGTTTTCCTGTTGTGACAGGTGAATACCATTTTCATGGGTGTAAACGGAAAATTGTGTAAAACAATGTAACTTAATAGTGGCAGATTAGTCAACTGTTAAATTCACCTTGCTGCGTGACTATAGCCAGCTGTATGTCGGTGTTATGTGGCTGCATTTCATACTGCTGTAAACCTGGCAATCAAATTCCAGTGTCCTGTACACCCTCAATGTAAAGAGACAAATGTATGTTTAGGTGTGTTCCAGGCAATGATTTCACATATTTTTAGTGTATTCAACAGGTAAATATGACACATGAAACCAAAGTTTGGCAAGGCAGTGAGTATAATGTGTGTGAATGGAGGCCGAGTATAAAAGGTCACAGAAGGAGGGAATGTTTCCAAATGAATTAACACACAGTTATCAGACTTATTACTGTGGGAGTGTGTGTTTGCAAAAGAATATATTCTATATTTGTCCCAAAACCTCACAGCGTTATCAGTTTTACTGTTCAGGGACCTTCATACAGCTTTCTGGGAAATGAGGTGTAACTAACAGCTCAGATACCATTTTGCAATTTTTCAAAACAAACAAGAATTGATGTACTAAAGTGGTCTGGCGTTACATGAAAAAGCATATTTGTATGAGATGGCTTCTAATAGATTTCTTGTGATTCACCTATTTTTCACTAATTTTTTTCCTTTAAGTGAATGTGAGCAACAAAATAAAATAGACCACTCATGCAACTCCCTGCCATGTTGAGACCAGTGCCTGTATGCCCTTCAGCATTGCGGCAGAACCAGGGACCCATCTCAAAGCCCCACAACCTGGTTCCTGGGCCGTCTTTAACGCAGGGCAAAAGGGGCAGTTGCCCGGGGCCCAGTCATTGTTGTGGGGTCCAAAGCAGCTGCCCCCTGAGCCGCAGCACCATTCTGTTCACTGTGCATTGCATACTGTTGCTCTGCCCCTGCCATACGGTGCATAGTGTAACCGAGTGACATCTCATGCGGGGGTCACATTTCCTGTCTGCTCTGCATTGCATGGCGGGGACTGGGCAGGTAGGGGGTGCAGTGAGGGCGGGGCATGGCTGGTTGGGACGGGGGGCCCCAAGAAGACGTTAGCCCAGGATCCCATCAATATTAAAGACGGCCCTGCCTGGTTCTGATTGGCATTGGGCTCATCCACAACTCCAGTGCCTAGGGGGAGATGTGGAATAGTCAGCAAGTAGGAATTTATCGTAGTAGAGCGTGTCGCTTCTGCCATAAAATCTCTTCTCCTGTCTACTGGCATTTCTTCACAAATTGTACATAGACTGCCCTGTATGTGCAGATCAGTGGACAATCCCAGCATCTAGAAGATGCCAGAAGAAAGTGCTGGCACAAGGTGCGTGTGAATTATGCCATCCCAGCTCAAATCAAGGCAGTTGAAGACTTCATTACTAGAAAAAGACTAGGAGAACCTGGAAGGACTGGTGACTGAGCAACGAGTGGAAGCAAAGACCTCGTATTGCTGAAAGGGGGCGGGGCACTTTACAAAGTAAAGGTGCCTTCATGTGCAAATATTCTGTACATGCACACTATGGCTTTCCTGGGAGGCTAAAAACATTAAAGGGTAAAGTCTAGCTATAAAAATGTTTTTACTTAGAACTACTTTTCTTACTATGCTATACTGTATGTAAACATGAACAAAGAGACATGATTTAAGTCCAGCCTGTGTAACAAGCATGGCTGCGTGAATAGATACAGGCTGAATTCACACTATGCCTTTTGCATTTACCTTGTGCTGACGCATGTTAAATGCACTTGACATGCGTTGACATCTTCTGTTTTAATGCATTGAGTTGTAAAGATGTGCATCTCTTACCGCATTTGGTTGCATTCATGTGCAGGTTTGTTGATCACAACAGGAGCAAAAAATACATAATTTTTATTTCCTTAACATGCATTGCAGCACAATGTTATGCGTTGTAACACGTTTCATTTAAATGCAGCATCTTCCCTTTTTTTTCACAAAGTACACACCATTGCAACGTGTTGTTTTGAACTGAGCCTACAGCTTGTAAATACACTGGGCCTGCATTGAGCAACACAACCCAAAGCAAGTGGTGTGAATGGGTTGACTGTAAAAAAATAAAGTGTTTGCATGAAGGGATATGGAGTGCGTTATTAGCTGGATTAGCAAATCAAAATAAAGGTAAAACTAGTAGGAAAAGAAAACTAATGCAGCCAGTACATCTAAGGATTGGTAAGCTGCAATATATCAAATATTTGTTTTCCGGAATTAGATACGCTTTAATACAATAACTTCACAATATCTTAGAAGTCATAGTTTGAAGCCATGGAAATGAAAGCCTTGCACCTAAATTCCTAGCATAACTTGTATAAAGTCCAAGACAACCTAAATCAATAACCTGCGTCACGACAGATATACACTAACCCAATCAAAGCCATGTATACTGTCAACACGGCACCTTATCGATAAAAATCACCTTCAAGATTCACATAAAATTCATATACCTGCAGGATAGCTGACCTCACTGAGACAATAAGAAGCCACAACGTGGGGTCCTAAAGTCATTACATATATGAGAAGTATGCTTTCCAGATACTGGATTATATAGATATGGCCAAACACCTTTGATGATGTCTAGGGAACACCACTGCTGTCCAACCCTGAAATACACAAATTTCACCTTTTCTGTAACCCGCAGATATTATCTTTGTTTTCTATTCTTTTTGTTTTATATTGAAAAGAAAAAATCAAATAAAATCTGGTTTAAAAGAAGAAAAAAAACAAACAACAGGATGTTTATCCAATTAACGGTGTCCTTATCCTGGATCTTGGGGAATATAGCTTGTTAGCTATACAATGCCAACTCGAAAGCCTGCTTCTCCCAGCTGAGGTGGTTTGAGGAGGCCCGTCATATGTACATCAGATTCCAGGGAACAGTCATCTATAGTGCTGTAATTTCTATATTCGTCACACTTTTTTTTGTTTCTGCAAATACCAAGAGAAACTCCCTTTTTTAACCATAACCACCATAATCTCATGCTTTACATTCCTGCATTCCTAAAAGGTTTCACTATTCAATAGCTTAAGAACTTCTATATTGCTCTGTAAACTTACAGTGGAAGTTGCTATGAAATCCTACACAAAATCACACAGTTTTGTACGTGACGGATGTCGTAATACACCAGCATGGGTAAGCGTGCATCATGTGCGAACACATCACCCTGCACTGCTAAAGTCAAGTACAAGCCAAGTACAATTAAGGGATTCACGTTTATTTCAGATGAGAAAGGTGTACAAAAATCAACACAACAAACACAGTTGGAATCTTTTGTACACACTGCCTAATAAAACATAACACTGAAAAAAGGTAAGTATTTCACCCAAGTCATTTATCCAAATAGAAAGTTTCATTTTTGAGACCCAAATTTACAGCAAACAAAAAACAACAACTAAAACCTGTGCAGATAACAAATGTTTATAAAACGGTTTTAAAAAAATGTAATCAAAAAGTGCTGAAAGTGAGGAGATAGCTAAAAACACATAAAAACAACAGAACATATTTAGAAAAAAACTCATACAAAAAACAATCTAATTGATGTCAACATAAAATTTACATACCAAATAGCCGAGAAATTCTGCGGTTTAACCCTTCGAATCGTCCCTTTTCATCAAACATTTTTTATCAGCTGGAGCCTGTGCTCCTTCCTTCTCCAATACAGCACAGTGTCTTGTCCTTTCTCATGAGATCTGTATGCAGGGAGAGGTGTGGACTGACTGACATCATTCTATCACCTACAATCTCCCAGGCCGCCCTTCTCTCTCTCCGCCTCCAGACAGGAAACAAAACGTCAAAAGATGAACTTTCCTCCCTCCCTCCCACCGAAATCACACCGAAAGGTGTTTCCAGGTATACCCATCTGATGTCTCTTTAGAATAGAAAGTTCAAGCCCAGATCTTTGCACACGTTGCTCATCTGACTGGAGGATTTTATAAAGCGTTATTTAGTAATGGATTGCACAGGTACATGCCAGATTTTTGACACTTTCCTCCTACATGAATCATATGAGAGATTAGCAACACCAAAAGCCTTTGGGGGAAAAAATACTAAATGATAATAATAATTAATAATAAAAGAAAAACAACAAAAAAACATTTAAGTCAAATGTAAGTACAATATAACCACTATGGTCCACTAGTTCAGCGGTCACCAACTGGTAGTCCGTGGACCACTGGTGATCCCTGAGAAAAGTCTGGTGGTCCCCGGGCCCTCCACCAGCACTGCCACTCCTGCAGGCACACCCGCACCTGTATATGCATGTATGTATGCATGCATGTGTATATAGATATATGCTCATATTTCCGTTTCCTCATATATAAATATATTCTCATATGTGTGGGTATATATATATATATACCCACACGAGAATATATTTATATATGAGGAAACAAAGAATATGATAATATATATCTTTTTATAAATTATATATATATATATATATAATTTTTAATTCATAATAGTGGTCCACGGGATTTAGAAATATGAATTTAGTGGTCCATGAGGTCCGAAAAGGTTGGCGACCGCTGCATTAGCTCATCTGTAAGCGTCTGGTCTCCTGGCCTTTTTTCATCCATTGTCTACGGGCCAGCATATGCAAAGCGCTGAACAATCATACGTCAGGAACAGAGTGATTGGACAGGTTATAAACCCTAATCCTTCTTCCTTTCTCCAGTGCCAGAGATGTGTTGGCACCCCCTCCTCTAGGCTAGGTACACCTCAACAGTTAGGTGTGAACCTAGGCTTAGTGTGCTGCCTGTGATGGCAAGGTACATTGGATGCCAGTCAGAATGAATGGCATTGCATCCAACTGTTGCAAGTAAAGTATGGTGCAGTAACGGGCATGGGAACGTGCACGTTTCAGCATGTGAATGAGCCCTTATTCTCATAAGGTTCAGTGATGAGACCAGATCTCGTATATCCTAGGCACTGGCCTGGAAGACGACAAGTGAGGCACATTCTCTAAGGCTGTTAACTGTTGTACAACGTCTGTGGCCGTCTTCAGCATTAGAGCACATTTATACCAGTGCATTTTAGGGTGCGATTTTATCAAAAACACACATTATGAAGAGTCTCAGCGCATGTAAAGCTCAATGTACATATGGCTTCGAAACCACAAAAGTGTGCACTGTGTAACCAAGCAGCCTAGACCCTGTGAGGCATCTGCACACTGTTGTCTGCTGTCCGTGTATTGAGAAGTGTTTGCACAGGTCAAACACCAATTGAGAAGATCAGTGTAGAAACACCAAGCAAGAGATGTACTTGGTCATTTCCTAGATTAAAGATTACACTCTTATCTGTTTCTGAAGTCATTACCTGTAGTAGATGCTTAAGGGGTAAACCACGTGACAGGTTGTTTTTTTTTGGGTGGGGGGAAAGCACGGAAAGCACGGCCTTTTTGCATTCCTGGGTCCACCTAAAATGGCCACTTTTTAAAATGTATTTTAAGTTTTTTTTAACAGGAACACCCAACACTCCCAGATGGACAGGAACAGTTAGAAACTATGGTAGGGAGATCTCAAAATCAGGAGTAGCCAAGACACACAAGACATCGTTCAGCCCACCATGTTCCCCCTTAAATTAAAATATCACTTTTGGGTGATCAAACTCTTTAAATATTCAACAGGCTTCCCCAGTGAGAATATATTAAATGAGCACAACTATACAAGTATTCTTCTATTTTGGTTTCCTATGGACAGTATACACATTACAGGGGGATTCTAAAGAAGAAAAAAAATACATTAAATGGGATGCAAAGAAAAAAACCCTTTCAGAACTTTCTGAACACACCAATAATGTCACATGTTTCCATTGAAACAGGCCCTCTGCCCCTGATGTGATACTCAGCAGGACACATTTTCTTTGGTTAATACAAGTTCTAGGACTCAGATGACATGACAGCAGACCAGTTGTGGTAAAGGAGGTTTAGTGCCTCCCACACTCTGAGACATATGCTTAGCAGATCGAAATGCATATGAATATTACCAGATTTGGCAGCTCAATCGTTAAAGTGACATTAAAACGCAGGTTCTCCCCCCCCCCCCCCCTCTTTCTCCACTCCCCCAG